CGGCGGCTGTCGGCCCGCCGAAGCGCGGGTCCGGCCGCAGCTGGTTGGCGATGCTGTACGACGAGCCCGACGCGCCCAGCTCCTGATGGACGCGACGCCCGTCAGCGACCCGCGCTCGCCGCGGGCCGGCCGGGCGCGGCCGAGTACTCACCTGCACGGGCGTGAAGTGGATCATGTTGTAACCGGACTCGTGCGCGACGCGCAGCGTGTCTTCCCAGCGCGGCAGCGGCCCGAGGCACTTGGCCAGCACGGTCTGGCACATGATGGCGTCCAGCGGCAGGCGCGCGCCTCCCACTCGCAGCTCCGGGAGCACCTGGAACCAGCCCGAGCCCTGCGGGCCCAGCGGGCACTCCCTGCAACGGCACGAGCGTCAGTCGTCGGCAGTCCCGCCGGGTGCGGCGTCGGCCGTTCGGTACTCACGCGGTGTCGTACACGAAGTAGAAATGGTAGGCGCCGGCGCGAGTCAGGCGCAACTCGCAGCCGCAATCGGTATCGGCCAGCAGCGCGCCGGCACCCAGCGCGGCCGCGCCCCCCTCGATAGCACCGTCTTCGGGCGACAGGCGCTGCCATTCCAAGCCGTAGTACTGGTTGCGCACGAACTCCGCGTCGTCACCTGCGCAACACGCAGGAGACATCGCGACTGCCGGACGAACGAGAGCGGGTCCGGTTCGTTCCGAGCGTTTCGAACTCACCTCCTTCGGATACGACATAGTTCGTGTACAGGAACACTTTCCGGCCGAGCAGGCTGGGGCCGGGGCAGAAACGGAGAATCGTGCCTTTCTCGAATCTGCAACGACGGTCGACTCAAAAAGTTGCGGATCTCGCTAACGAATACGCAATATCCCTAAGCCCGGAGGCCAACAACCGAACCGGTAGAGCGTAGAGTCCTGGTGCTCGGCGTGCTGCAGCGTGATGACGCACGTGCCGGCGCCGTCGGCCGGCGCGTCGCCGCCGTCGATGGCCATCTGCCTCTGCAACGGAAGCGGCGCCTCAGGCGGGGGCCTGCTGGGCAGCGAGGGCCGGCGGAAGGGTCCGCAGCCCTTGGGCGCGGGCTCGTCGAGCTGCTGCTGCAGCCCCTGGCGGCCGAGGCGGCCGTGCGCGCGCGGCATGCTGGCGCTGGCTGGCGGCCGCGCGGCGCGCGCGCCGTATAAGAGCGCGCCGTCACGCGCCGCCGCGCCGCCACGCCGCGCGCGCGCTTTGTGCGGCGTCGGGTTTCGCCGTCGCCAGCTTTTGTGCTCGCGGAGCGGCAACCTGCTCCTTCCTTTGTTTCTTTGTGTGCATTGCGCGGTGTTAACGAACGTTCTGCGAGGTCTGGCGACCTAACGTTCCTAAGTTATTTTCATAACCGCGATAAATGAAATAAATAAAATAAAAATAGCCTTTATTTCTACTACATTTTCTTGACATACTTTTAAAAAGAGAAAAAACATAAACTAAGTAATTATTGTATGTAGTAGTCGCCTCTACGGCGTTACGCCTCCGCCGGATCTGTCCACTCTTCTTTTTCTCTCGCTTTAGTCTTCCAATCCAGTCCGATTTTTTCTGTGAAAATGTCTCTCCATCTCTTCTTTTCTCTTTTTCCATCTCTTGGGATCCATTCTGTGGTAATTTTTGTCCATCTGGTATTATCTAACCTACAGATATAGCCTGCCCGTTTCCATTGTAGTTGGCGTATTCTTTACGTTACATCCTGTACTTTTGTTTTCTTTTTCTCCTTATAATTAGATTTTTAATTTTGTCAGATCTTTTAATACACAGTGAACTTTTCTCCGTCTTCCGCTGGCAGATTGCCACTCTTTCTTTGTCTTTTTTCTTTAAAGACCATGTTTGGCGACCATATGTTAAACAAGGTAATATCACTGTCTCGTATACCTTTCTTTTTATACATACTTTCATATGTATAGATATTAGGGGTTAAAGTATGAAATTGCCGTTTTATTGCAATAGGTTCTTTGAATTTTCATAGAATCTTCATGGTTTGAGGTTTTCGAATGAAACTTTTTTCAAATGGTTTCTGTGATTTTTTTTTTTAAATTTGAAACATTTGAATATCGACTTTCAATTGTTTTTGTTATTCAATTTAGACAAGAAAGATGGATACTGCGAAAATTCGAGTGATTTTTGAATACGAGTTCCGACGCGGAACTAACGCGGCAGAAACAGCCCGCAATATCAATGCTGCCTTTGGAGAGGGGTCTACTAATGAACGAACGCTTTCGTGATGGAAATTTCGACTTAAAGAACAAGTCACGAGGAAGACCGCCCACACAGGTGAATAACGATGAATTAAGAGAGATAGTGGAAGCCGATCCTAGTCAAACTACCCAGGAATTAGCGGCATGGTTTAACGTTACCTTACCCACAATATTGACTCAGTTGCGTCAAATCAATAAAATAAAAAAATACGAAAAATGGGTGCCTCATGATTTGACTGATCTGCAGAAAGAAACGCGTGTTGAAACTTGTGTTGCCTTGTTGAACCGGTACAGAAATGAAGGAATATTGGATCGAATTGTAACATGTGATGAAAAGTGGATTCTTTATGATAACCGGAAAAGAAAAATGCAATGGCTGACCCCAGGTCAAATGCCACAACAGTGTCCTAAAGCAAAACTTACCAATAAAAAGGTAATGGTAACTGTTTGGTGGTCTCAGCATGGTGTTATTCACTATAGTTTTCTCCGATCTGGTCAAGCAATAACGGCAGATGTCTATTGTGCCGAACTCCGAACCATGTTGACAAAACTAGCAGTAAAACAGCCCCGACTCATGAATCGATCTTCACCATTATTGCTCCACGACAACGCGAGACCTCACACAGCACGAGAAACCATTTTGACCCTTCAGGAACTGCAGTTAGAAACCATTCGTCATCCTCCGTATTCACCAGACCTTGCTCCAACGGACTACCATTTTTTTCGTGATTTGGACAATTATCTACGTGACAAGAAGTTTTCTTCCCAGGAGGCAGTACAAAATGCTTTCACACAGTTTGTGCAGTCTAGATCGTCGGAGTTCTATCGCAAAGGCATTAATAACCTTCCCATTAGATGGCAGCAATGTATAGATAATAATGGCAACTATTTTGATTAAATAAATTTGTTAAAAATTTAAAAAATAAACAATTTAGATTTTCAGTACAAATCGGCAATTTCATACTTTAACCCCTATTATTTTTAATAATTTCTTTGAGACTCCCAATGTTGTTTCCAATCTAGCGTGAGTCTCTTGTTTATCTCTTTCTCCGTACAGTCATCAAAAGACACCATACGTCTCAGGTACAGGTACGAAAAAGAAGCACAATACATTAACTGAGAAACGGAAGATTTACTTAGACAAAGAAAATTACTCTATCAAAAGCATACAACCAAAACAGTAAAATTTGAAATAAGTAAAGAAACAACTAGAAATATAACATAAAAAACGAAAATGAAAAGACAGCAAATTGTCTAAAAATTCATTGGCAAGCCTTGCGCTTCAAGAAAGACATATATATACTCGTAAAGAATTGAGCGATAAGACGAATGGACGTCTACTCTGACTAATGAAAGTGGTAGTACTATCAGGACGCCTATATAATATAAATGAGGCAACGAATTTTTATAAAGAGTGATACATTTAATTTTTTTTTTAAATACATCCAACGTAACGCAATCACAATATGTAATAAATGAAACACGCAACGGCATAGTTCAGATACACCCAAAGACATACTCTTGTCAGAAATAGCCCATGCAATAAAGGTTCAAAAGAACGAGAAAGCCCCGGAAACGGCAATATATCGCTAACGAAATTGAAGTCGTTAAGCTTATCGTTACAAAAGCCACTACAGAATCAAAGATATTTTTTAACACAATTATAGAAAAGAAAGCAACCCTATCGCAATGGTCAGACTCTACATACTCTCACGATTATACATATATTAAACCAGTCATTAAATATCTACGACTCGTATTTTATTTTATATCATGTAACACATGGTAAATGTATATAAAAAAGGAGACCGTTGTGATCTAGACTAATAAGCCTAATAATAAACTAACTTTGACTTCGACTAATAAAAAATGGCGTCTTAAGCAAGTTTTTCGTAAATAGAAAAGTAATTTTGCCTGTTTTAGCAAGAAAAACTCAAAGTTTAATTTCATTTCTTCATTCAAATCAAACTTCAATTCAAACTTTACGCTCTATTATCTACTACCATAACTTAACGATTTTGATTGGTTAGGGCTTAAAACATGAAAACGACGTAACACAATTTTTGATTTTTACAAAATTAAACTTACAGTCACTTGCGTAAGAGTCATATTGCAATATTTCAGTATTTTTTTCATCCTGGTTCAGCCCTTCACCATTAGGTGGCGTTTTAGTAAAAAAATGCTACTAGTATATGTAATAGCTAACTATTACACGTTAGATGGCGCTGAAACTCATTTTTCGTTACACTAAGAACTCACGGAGCGGTTTTCACCCGCGTCGACCGCGGGACCGCGCTGCCTCCGTAGAATGTAATAGTTAAGTACCTGTCAAATTTAGTAGCACATTTCACACCGCGTTTTACGCCCGTCATGGTGACTTGGCAGCCGCCGTCGCGGCATCCAAAGTATGTAATAGGTAAGTATGTAAAATTGGTTAATTATGTGAAATGTGCTTCACGGCGCGTTTTACGCCTGTAGTAGTGACGGTTGCTCGCGGTTGCCTCGGCGGGGTAGTAATAATAAAATAAAAGAAATCAATTTAACGTGAATGCTTTTCGCTTCGACATTTTAGGGACTTTAATTACTAAAATCATAATAAGAAATTCAAACGTTTCAGTAAAAATTAATTGTCGATAAACATCAATCATCGTAAATGAACATCACTATATTTAGGCCTAGAACTTGCTATGGAGACAAAAACAAAACATTGAATAATAATAGAAATAGTAACTAAAATGCAAACAGCTGGTGGTATGTTATGCCACTGGTTTTAGGATTTTTGTTTTCACTCCAATTTTTACAAGGCTTATCACTACAACTTGGCATTTTCACGTGTTTGGAGAGATCTTGTATGTACAACGATCGCCATGTTACTGTAGCGATGTTTGAAGGCGTGTCACCTCCGATATGGTCAAAATGACCATATCGAGACGACACGAACCACGCCCTCATACCAAATCTCCCCTTTTTTCCTATATCTATGGTAAATACAGAAAACCTGCTTGTCTTGCCATCTTTGCTTAGTCGAAATCAAAGTTCTATTCTATTTCTAATTCCTTAATGGCGGCCACTAGGCTTGGGCCAGTGTCAGTTTCGATTAATGTTGTCAGTTAATATTGTTCAATAACGTCAACGTTTCTTAGCAGCAAGGTATTTATTTTTAGATGAGTCTCTTCGACGGAATGCTGTTGTGGAGATCATACCTGGGGTAAATAAAAACAATCATCTTTTTATAAATCTCAGCCTGAGCCTCAAATTGCACATTACCCTAATAAATGCACTTTTTTGCAGATTATTGTGCAAACCAATAGACAACCTTAGAAATAACATTTTAACAATAGTCCCATGATGTACTATTCTACGTTATTATTTTTAATGATAGGTACCAAGTGACGGGTGGAACAAAGTCGTGCGCCTGGCGGTGAGCGTCGCGCCTGGCGGTGAGCGTCGCGCCTACCCATTACAATTGCTGTACCACATAGAGCGTTAAATCGCAAGGACCTGTTTAAGTAAAATATACTTTGAACATATAAGATATATATAATATAAATATATATATATATGAACAAGGAATATTTTTTGTCGGTTAGTGACAGCACGTCAAGTGGTTCAGGGTGTTGACGGGAAATTGTCAAGCATGCAACTAAGGGCACATTCATGGCTCATGGCTTGGTCCGACTGTTCGCGACACGTTGGCTCTTCAATCGTACATACAATTCGAGCGCAATATCGACGTTGCACAATGCTTTGCTATGCTAGACCCAATTTTGTGATATCCCCTTTTTATTCCTGATTCCCATAGTTTCAATAAATACAAATCCGAAGTAAAACTCCGAAGTTCTCAGAAAAATTTCAAAAAAACTATGTAATTATTCTGTAACTGTAATTTTGTTTTTTTTATACGAGTCATTTTCGTTCAGATATATTTTTTATAATCAGTTTACAGTTTCATAATCAGTTTACGGTTATTAACATTTTTATAATCATATATTCTTTTCTTGAAGATGGAGTACAATGACAGCTCATTGTGCAAAAGTTGCCCACATACAAGCAACTAGTGATTGCTTGCAGTCGATAAATAAATATACTATCGGCTGAATATTGGTTATGCACGCAATAAATTAAATAGCCGCATTTCTTTCATTTCAATCATCATCGGCACATTATTCGTCCAACTGCTGGGCACAGGTTCAATTGAATTGTCAATTTTAAGAAGTTCATACATACACACATTACATTGAGAGCTATATCTATTAAAAATACAAAGAGCAGATATAGTTTAAAATTCTCATTTCAATTCATTATAGATAAGTAATCAAATCCGCATAATATTCTTGTTAAAATGTATATGAATAAAAAAATATTTTGATACTAGTAGGCCAGCTGTCAAAATAAGAATAAAGAAGGCAGTAATACAATTTCAATAATCATTTTACTCCGTTTTCAAAAAAGACAGACTATGTTTGAAAATTATTAGCCAACCAACGTTTGATAAAACGTTGTTTTTCCGTGAAATAATATTAATAATAATAATAAGGCACGCACTCAACATAGCCCCGCACTAGGGAAACCCTGTATCGCGTGTGCCATGTATACACATATAGACAACCACAAATTACACCCAAACTCACGAGATAAATAAATGTAGGCCATACAAATATTTTTCCCGGCCCTGGAATCGAACCTGGAACCTCTGCGTCAGAGAACAAATAAGTATTGAGAACGGACACTCTCCGTCGCTCCCTAGCTTTAGATACCGCACCACGCCCCGCACATTGATGGTCATAGACTGAACGAGTACAAGGCTGTCGGCGAGCCATTTTCGCGCTAAGACGGCTTTGATATTTGAATATAGTTTTCATTTATTCATTACGAAATTTGTACGTTAATATAGGTATAACATCATTTTACGTTACTATTTATAATGGTCGTGAATTGTGCTGTGTGCGGCTGTTTATAATCATCTAAACGGGATAAAGAGAGGAGCTTCTTTCGTTTTTTGAAAGATGAAACGAAGTAAGTAAAAAAACTTATGTCTGAGCCTCATTCAGTTATTGTTTTCTTTAGTGTAGAGTAATATATAATACAGATTTATTATATCAATATAATTAGACGCCATAACTTCGTTAGAATTTTCGCTATGTTGCCGCTTTGGCCACGTAACCTAATAGTACGAGCAAGTGATGGGTAGGTAACCCTGCCACTTCACGCACACATTCGCGCGTGTGCCGATAGCGCCTTGCTGTATGTAGTAGTAGTAGGTGAATAATTTTCGACCGTTGTATGGAGTGTCCGGGATGTGTCTGCGTAGCAGTCATGGGAGGCAGTAAATATAAATATAACATGGGCGAGTGTGTCAAATTATTTATTAGTATAGTTATTTTCTTTTTTTTACAAACAAAAAATAATAATGGCAGATAACTGTTGAGAGATGTTATTGTTCAAAATTATGAATTTTACATGAAAATCACGGTTACGGTTTGGAGCTGAGCTACTATAGTAATTATTATGTCAGTGGGATTATTACGTCAAAGTGATTTGTCAAATTTGATTTGTGCCCTGTGAAAATTCATTGCTTTGAACTGTTATATCTCGGAGTGGTTACGGTTAGGAGACGAGGCCCTATGAAGTATATTTAAATAAACCAAAGGTTCGGGCCCTCTACACGTCTCATGTTCACGGGCGGCTTACTGATTAGCCTTTATTTATTATATTTTCGTTCATATTACTACTCCGTACACGAATACACAAGTTTCATGCGTAGAACTTTTTTAAAGTACCAAAAACATGCCATACCATTTAAATAAGAACTAAAATATATTTTGTGTCACTGAAGATTTAAATTTAACTCCATGGAGTTCAGAGCGGCGGCATACCGCTTACCATTACAACCACAGAAGAAGAAAAACAATGGAGATGCCTTACGCCTCGATTACTATCGGAACCGCTGTCGCCAAAACGCACACAAACAAATGATAAACACATAATAATATGCAATCTTGATAATGATTGGTCATAGGTTCTAATTTAAAAAGATGTAACAAATTCTGGATTGTTAATATAATTTAACTTTACCCGGTTGCTATATCGTTGAAAGTTCAATACCTTTATTGCAAGTCAAGACGTTTTGATTTTATATTTAAATTTTATTCAACATCCATCCATCTTGCGGCCAATAGCTGGACTACGACGAACGATTAACATCTGAACAAATAGAAAGTAGTATCTTTTCGACAACAGATGTTCTTTAACGCACACATTGCATAATGAACTTTGTTTCGATCAATTAAGTCTAAAATTAACAAAACGCTCGTGAAGCATTTTTTCGCTAAACTTTTGTTCGCAGTGTCCACGGTAGTAGAAAATTCGAAATGTTTACTTTCGTTTGTTGCAGTACAAAAAACAAAATCGATAGACAGAAAATTGAAAATTTATTAAGACTTGCCGATGATATGAAATACTACTACGGATAATATTTTTGGTGCGGCTATTATTATATATTTTTGCACGCCGAAACAGCACAATGAGGCCGTTTTTAGTAGCAGTAGAGCTCCTTGTGAAAGAATTCGTCCAGGGAAGTACTGCCACCTTATCTATTTCTGCCGACAAGCAGTAATATGAGCATTACTATGTTCCGGTTTTGAAGGGCAGGGCAGGGCTGGTTGCAGACACATGACACTTACCAAACTCTGTCTCACGGTGACGGGCGCAGTGGCAGTGCCCCTCAGACCTTTGTGTTTTAAAGCTCTGAGTGGCGCTGCAACTGTTATGGACAGGCGTGTCGCTTACCATCAGGCGCATGAGTTGTTCGTCCCGTCACTTGGTATCATACAAAAAATCTACGATTTTACAGGATTTGCGCAAAAGAGTGACACAACCACACCATACAAAGCGAAAATGGCGGCCTGAGTTCAAGTAGGTCTAACGAGATCTGCTTAACTGTTAGAACGCGTCTGACGCTAACTAGATACTTCTACTGTATTTATTGTTCTGTGATTATAATGGTTGAAATGTCCAGCATGATGTGTTCTTGACAGTACATCATCTTACACTTTTGTCTCTCATCAGCTCTGCATTGTACGTGATTAAAAGAAACTAAAACTTTCAGATGGATGTAGAAACCGTTACATAGGTTTATTGTAGATACTTTCACGAGTCGAGTTGTGGATACCAGCCCGTTACAATATACCATACCAAAGTTATTTCCTTGTGAAATTCGTAAATTTGAACAATTACATCTCGCAACGGTTTGGCGCAAAGCTGCCATAGTATTTTTTTGATTGTATGAATACACAATACACCCCATTTTAATAAATGTAACAAACCTACTTTATGTAATGGACCTTAAGCCAGATTCTTCACTTTTAGTTCTCTAAGAATTTGCTAGATGGCATTGACCCATTTGGCGTTATTTCTGAATCGCGGTGTTAAGATTTTCCCTCGAATGGTGACTACTCGAACATAATGTTGTTAATGTGAAGTCCCGCCCTCCGACCCTCCCCTCCCCCCGGTCACCCCAAAGGAAGTAGAATCGCTCATAAAGAACCTTAAGCCCCGCAAAGCCCCAGGCCCTAACGGTATCTCCAACAAGGTGCTTAAACAGCTTTCTGCACCCCTCATCTGTCTCCTGACTGCAATTTTTAACGCCGCTCTGACTAACTGCATCTTTCCGCAAAAGTGGAAAGAGGCGGTGGTCATCGGTATTCACAAGCCCGGGAAACCTCCATCTGAGCCCTCCAGTTACCGTCCCATCTCCCTGCTTAACACCATGGGCAAACTCTATGAGCGCATCCTATACGCCCGCCTCAGAGACTACGTCATGTCTCACAATCTCCTCCCCGACGAACAGTTCGGTTTCAGAGCTAGGCACTCATGCGTCCAGCAAGTGCACCGGATAGTGGAACACATCTCCGAAGGCTTCGATCGCCCCCGCTTCATGCCCACCGGCGCCCCTTCTTCGATGTGGCAAAAGCCTTCGACAAAGTCTGGCACAACGGCTTACTTTACAAGCTGTATAAACTCGGCGTGCCTGATAGTCTCGTGCACATCATTCGAGACTTCTTGTCGAACCGCTCTTTCCGCTACCGAGTTGAGGGCGCACTCTCCTCCCCTCACCCCGTAAGAGCTGGAGTCCCGCAAGGCTCTGTCCTCTCGCCTCTCCTTTTCTCCTTGTACACTTGCGACATCCCCAAGTATCAGGCAGTAAATCTCGCCCTCTTTGCCGACGACACTGCGCTCTACTATTCGGCGCGCAGCTCCAAGTTAGTTTCCGCGGCTCTCCAATCTGCCACCACACGCCTAGGCGAGTGGTTTCGCAGATGGAGAATCGAAGTCAATCCCGACAAAAGCGCGGCGGTATTCTTCACGCGAAGTAACCTATCCAGTCGTAGGGTACAAAACCTCAACCCGATCTCGCTCTTTGACCGCCTAATCCCCTGGGTGAACACGGTCAAATACTTAGGAGTTACGCTCGATAGGAAGCTGTCATTCAAAGCACACGT